AAACCTCCATCTAATCACTCCTTACATTGGTCATTCCATTTCTGTTTGAATAATTCTAATGTTCCAAAACCCATTCTTCTCAGAAGAAAGTAGCCCATTCCATTTTCAGGCAGTTTCATACTGTTTGATAAAAGTCTGTCCCCCGGGAACTACCATCGATTTGTCCTAGTTCTGCTGTCTGCACAAGGCTAAGCTGGCTTGCTCAGCTCTCATCACCCCTCTGACCTTGCTTTACCAGGTAAATTGCTTCATAAACAAGGTTACTCTTGCCCTATCATTGTTGACTGAGTAGATTCCAATATGTCAATGATTCTCACTATGTGGGACACCCAGGACTATATCCAGAGCTCAAACTAATTCTGACCAATGCTCTCCCCCGCCCCTCCCCCCCGCAAAATTCTGACCAATCCAAATTCTATGATTGCAGCCCCACGTTGAATATATTCTTTGGGCAGCCATACAGAATCCTCAACTAATACTGAGCTCTTAGTCAACAAGAGATGTGATGAGCGGGGACATTTCGGCCACTCTTCACCAGCCTAGGCAATTTTAAGGCAATGAGGTCCCAAACAGACTGCACATAATTTCACTATAACAAAAGTTGTTCATTGTGTGGCAAATATTTTACCCAAACTTGCATAGTGATTTTTTATTCCTCTCAATGCAAGGGGTACTCTCTTTTCTTTTGCACATATAAAACAGGTGGATTGATTGGTTGTTTGGTTGATTGGTTCTTTTTTAAAGTTTAGATCCAGTAATGGTTAATCAGTGGACGGCTAAAGAGGCAAAAAGAAAGCCAGACTCCTTTCAGGCAGAATCCTAGAATTTTTCTAATTGACAATTATGGTTACCCACAAAACTGAAGGTGTCTCTATTTTAATTCAAGGATGACCAAAATAGACTTGGTGAATGGGAACTGGTTATATGCTACTATTCTTTAAAAATTTCCTGGTTCTAAACTAATTTTCTTATTTTCAATATTTTAATCTAATTAATATTTAATTTTGCCATTTGTCAAATATACTTTAAATTATAATTTTTGGAGATCGGTGAACAGGCTAGAAGACCCCTTTAAAAAAAAAAGAAAAAAAGAAAAAACATTGTAATCCTGAGCTAAGATCTTCCTTTCCTCTTATTCTGATCTTCTGAGTCAATCTGCATAGACAAAGAAGCCTGAGCTATTTGCCTAATAAACCCAGTTTTCTCACCTTACAAATGAGAAAAAATAATGTATAGAGGAGTTAAAGTTATTTGTTCCAGTTCACAGGGGTAATGGCAGCTTCTAGCTCATACTTCTTCCAAACCACTTACACAGATTATCTGTGTTAAAGAATTCAGAGAAGCAAGAAATTATTCTAATGTGGGGGTCATTAGAAAAGACATCATAGAGGAAATAAAATTGAAAAGAAGTCAGCATTTTAAAATCAAATTTCACTTTTTTACCAAAGTAACACATGCTAGCAAGAGAAAATCTGGGAAATGCTGAAAAGTATAAGAAAAGGTGATGGACAAATTACACATAATCCCATCACATGCAAGCAGTGCTATTGGTGCATTGCTTTGTAGTCTTTTTACCCTAGTATATTATTTGTTGTTGTTTTCTATCATTGTGATCATACTACTTATCATGGAATGTTATAACTCAAGGACTATTTCATGTTGTAATGAACTCTTAATAAATACTGTTTTAATTGCTACAAAACAATCCATTTTTACTATAATAGTCTTAACTTTCCTCCAATTGTCGAATAATTAGATAGAAACAAAAGATTTAAATGAAGAAAAGAAAGATATTTGGAAGAAGATACGTATTTACAGAAAATTAAAATACCAAAATACTCACAAAAGTGTCTTTGAGCTTTGAAGCTATGGATGATTTTTGTTCATTCTTTATATTTTTCAATGTTACAAAAACACGTTTAAGAACCTACTTTTATTGACCATTTACCATGTGCTCTATGCCTCAGATATATTTTTCTCATGTAGTTATCACAATGACTAACCAAGATCACTATTATGTCTTCATTTTAAAGGTAAGGAAAATGAGACCTAGAGAGGTTAAAGGACTTGTGGGTTGGAAATGGAGCCAGAATTTGTTCCCAGGTTCATCTGAAGAGAAAGCTACTGTTCTGCGCCATCATGCTGCATATCCCAAGTTTTTTATAAACATCTACCATTGTTATCACCAAAAAGCTATTTTTTAAAATGAAAATGGATTGCAAACAATAGCTCATTTCTGGTGCAAGCAGTAATTTATCGCCTGTAGAATATAAAACACAATCTAAAAATCCCAGAACAGCTAAGAAAATCATCAATACATTAAATCCCCTCGGTCATGTCTTAAATGTTTAAAATTCAAATATGTTTCAGGTTTCTCTGAAATTGATTAGAAATAGAAAAAGAAGCAATGTTAATTGCAGTTACGTGAATGAAGTCTGGATTCTGAGATGGATGAAAATTGATTGTGCTAAAAGTAGTCTTCTGTAATTAAATGAAACTGTGCTGTGCACTTTAATTAGTCAGCAAAACTCATCCAAAGCGATAACAGAAAGTCCTGGTGTATCTCATTAAATGACAGCCTGGCTGCCCCACCTTCGCTGTGGCTCTGTTTCCCACAGCAGTCTTATTTATGCATCTCTTGCTCTAATTTGAAACTGCAGGAAAGGTGATGCACCCTTTTGTAACCCAGATGTACACATTATAAAATCCTCCTCATACTTTCATTCAGAAGGTTTGTAATAGCTTTAAATTCTAGGGACTCTCACTAGGGAAACACGTAACTGCCTTAGAAGTACTTGAAGTCATTGACATTTCACATCACCCACCAGGGGGCTTGGGAAAGTCAGTAAACATTATAAAATTCACTTGACAGATTTCTCTTAGTGTCTATGCAGACATGTTGAACATGCATCTTTGAAAAGCTATTCAAGAAAATGAGTCTCTAGAAATTTTCTCCTAACTCTTCAGTATATAAATGTTGAGCTTTCATAGTATTGAAAAAGGAAAACTAATTTATTTTTCTTTTTTATTGCTGTTTTTAATCTTTTTATAATTATAAAATCAATGCATACTCAGAAAATTCAGAAAGTACGGAAAAATGTAAAGAAGCGGAAAAACATCACCTATCGTCCCTTCATTCAAAGATAGATTGCCCTTAACAAGATAGCATATTTTCCTCTAGTATTATATCTAGCCATTGCTTTTGTGTATCTGAGATTACTGTTTGAACAATTTAGTATTCTATTAGAATTCAAAATTTCATTGAAAAAGAAATTTTGAATTTTATTCTTAACCTTAACCTAGATAAGTGGTGGCCATTCCACATGCTTCTAGCATCCCAGACATGGATTGTCAAGAGTCTTCATTGAGAAAATGCCCCCATTGAAAGGACAGGACCCATTTCTGTGGTAGGAATGAGTATTCTAGATATAATCAAAGAGAACAAGACCTATTTATTTAGTAGCCTGGAATTAATCTCACTGGGCTTGCCTTCATTCCCTGAACATTTATATGTGGAAGAGATAAGGTTATATTTATCATTCAAAACAACTTTGAAGAAGAGTTCCCGTCACAGGACAACCACTACCCAGACGTCAGGGCAGAGTGGAGGGTGAGATTGGGAGAATCAAAAGGTGAAGGGCGACCGCAAGTCAGGTTGATGGTGTGCCAACAAGTCACTAGACTTAGATCATAGAAATTGAGATTTGCAGTAAAGAGTATGGATCTCAGCCCCAGACTCAGATATTCAAGGAATACCCACTTCTTTGTTTTCTTTAAGGAAAGTAAAGTGGTTTCTAAGCATCTGTCTTACCACACTGTCAGGTAACTTAGTTTCGAGCACCAAATCTGGAAAGCTTATGTGGTGCCAAAAAACAAAGACAGAGTCTTCATCCTCTTATTTGTCACATTGACTACTAACTTCAGACCAAGCCCCAAGTGATTCCTTGAAATCCAGTTTCCTTCTATTTCCCTGACACATGGAGATCAGCGTTCAAGTCAGCACCCCCACCACGCCAGGCACACCCTCTGTCATCCTCTTGGTGGTTCGGCCAATTTGCCAGGGAAACACCTAAAAGCTAAGCATCAGTCTCCCACCCATCTCAGAACCCCCCATCCTCCTTCTCTTTCCTTACCTCTGAAAAGTTCCCCTTCCTCCTTAAGTTCTTTAAGATACTTGTCCCTTTTTTCTCCTTACAGGACACCTAAAGCATTCTTTTTAGGCTTAATGAAATAGAAGCACATCTGGGACAAATCTTGCAGAAAAGGTCTGCTTCCATCCAGGAACTCACATCTCCTCTGAAGTAAAGAACAAATGGCCCAATTTCCTTTTTAGAAGATGTAAAAGAAAATTATATGGAGAAAATATCATTTCGCCATAGAAAAAAACCTTGAAGAAGACTTAGTGAAGTTCGAAACCAAAGCCAGAGTCCTTCATTCTTTAACACCAAGTTTGCCATAAGCTGCTAAGTGTGAGTTTGGAAGCCAGACTAGGGTTCAGATCCTGTGCATCCCTAGTTTTGTGACCACAACCCTCTAGGCTCAGTTTTCTTCTAGCACAGTGCTTGGAACAGAGTAGGATCAACTAATGTTACTTTCCTTTGTCTACAGACAGCTGCCTCCCGAATCACTGCCCAAACAGTCCCAAAGCTGTTGCTCCAATTCCTCATATCCTAGGAGCAATTCAAGGAGAAAGCACCCTTCCTAAAATGTGTGTCTGGTACCCACATTTGAAATTGTTCAAGTAATGGATATGTGATCCAGGTCCTTCAGATGGTAGCTATTTTCCTGCTGGAAAAAGTCACAATTAATCCATTTCAACACTTTGACCACTGAGTACCCTCCAGAAGCTCTTCAACGTCTGAGTTGGATGTGGCCAGTTTCAACATTTTATTCCTCCTTAGAATTCATTTGATCTATCAGTAAAATTGTCTTCCTGGAAATAAACCAAATGATATAGCATGTTCTTAAATCCTTCTCTCTTCATTTTTCCTGTCTCTTAGTCGGACACAGAGTTTTGGGATAAGATGCAAGCAGAATGGGAAGAAATGGCCCGGAGGAACTGGATATCTGAGAACCAAGAAGCCCAGAACCAAGTTACAATCTCAGCTAGCGAGAAGGTGACCGATTCTCTTCCTATACATGCTGACCGATTTTTTTAACCTCTTTGGATCATATTTTTATAAATTAGTTGATAACAATTTGTGAAAAATACAAGAAGCAAGCAGACAATTTAATGTCAATCTGACCTAGAAGAAATTCTGGTAGATGAAAACAGTATAATCATTCAGTGTGTGAAGGCAGCAAAACTGGAATGGAATATCCTTATTTTTATCAATGTTAAAACAGAAAATTTGGCAGATGTTGGATCCTGACTGTGGGCTAGTTGCTGAACTAATTGACATTGAGGGTAGGTTGGAACAAGAACTGGGCTAATTCCATAATGCGTTTTGTCATCAGTCATGCCCATGAGCATACAGAAGTTATATCAATGGGCAGGGAGTAAGGCAGGACTTAGGACTGTATTTCACACTTGGTCATTAGACAGCTAGCAAAAAACTCAGTGGTAAAGATACCTTTCACACAACCAGATCAAGTCTCAAGGGGATTCCTCAGAAATAGTCTCTGACAGAAGCCCCAACAAATCTGTAAGCACAGTGAACAACCAGTCAAATTACCCATGAAGTCCCAGTTGCCCCTAGATTTATGCTTTTAAAAAACAGTTGAAAACAAACAAACAAACCTTGAGAAATAAGTTTAAATGACTTGAAAGATACAAAGAGATGTGGAATTTTCTTACACAGGGTGGGGGCGGGGGGACATATATAGTATATATTTATATTATGATTTTTGTAGTGGAAAAGGTCTCAGTAATATTTAGTTCTAAGTAATTTCTGTGATATGTAGCTCAATCCAACTGATATTTACTTGTGTCTACTTTGCACTAGATACTGGAGAAATGATGTTAATAGTTTCTGATTTTAGGGGATTTGCAGTCTACATAGTCATTAAATAGTCTCTCTCTTCCCAATGTTCTGTGTCCCTCAGTAGGCCAGGCAATCTCATAAAATCAGAACAACCATCTCATTAAAAATGACTGTCTCTTCCACAAAAAAAAAGAAAGAAAGAATGAACGAAAGAAAAGAAAAAAGAAAAAAGAAAAACTACACAAGAAGAACATTGATGCAGATTATCAGACTCTGGGCTATAATCCTTGAACCTGAGACATGACTGGGACCTTGAGTTCCTCACTCCTGGGACCACATATCTGTAACACCACTACATAAGCTGGTCATACCCTGTGGCTTTTGATAAGGGGTTTTGTCTTTCTAAGCACCTATGAAGAATAAAGGTCTCCATTTGTTCTATTTCAAAACCTTAGCATTATCAGACTAGCTTCTTTGTATCTATCAAATTAAAAAGAATTTTATGATAATCTATGCTAGTAAGGTTACCACAAATAATGTCTCTCAGATACTTCTCATGAGAGTTTAAATTGAGACACACTTTCTCTAAAACAATTCACCCACATATATCACAGGCCTCAAAATATTTCAAAGCTTTTAGCCTAATAAAGCCCTCTAGAAATTTATCATATGGTAATAATCAGTGCAGAAAAAGATTTGAGATGAGGCTTTCACTGTAACTTTATTTATAACGATTAAAAAAGTGAAAGTAATCTGAATGTTCGTCAGTATGGTATTGATTAAATAAATTTAAATATAATATAAATAACTATAATAACTAAAACTAAGTGGGGCTTAAGCTACAAAACGGCATATATAGTATGAATTTGTTCATTTAATTTATGTACTCATACAAAAATACTAGAGTATTTGTACATTCTGCATTGTTTAAATTTTTACCATAAAAGAAGCTCTATAACTTTAAAACATGCATTCTCAGTAGGCAATATAGCCACCAATGGGGCAAAAACTGGTTTGAAGAGTGGAAGGGCAAAAAAAATCTTAGATATTACAATGGTTTATTAGCCCTCAAAAGGGCCACAGTCCATAAACAGATGTACACTACGTTGTATCAATACTTCAGGAAGACTGGGTGGCAGCACCTAGCAAAAATATGTCCAAAAACTATTTTAAAAATTTTGGGGGGGAAGTGGCTAAAACAAAATGAACAAAAGAAATATCAGAAGAAAAACAAACTCCAAAATATTTGCAGGGATCATTTTTAGGTTGCAGCATTGTGGGTAACTTTTTATATCTTTTCATATTATTCAATAACAAAATAACGTCTAAAATTTAAACAATGAAAATGTACATTCATAATAAGGAAAAAGCAGTAATTGAAATTTAATTGCAATTAATTTAATTACACTAAATTAAAATTTAAAAAGAACTTACTGAATGTGAGAATCTTCTTGTGCTGGCCCTTCTCTGTGTTGTAGGGATATTACTTCCACACTGAAAACCCCTTCAAGGACTGGCCGGGGGCATTTGAAGAAGGCCTAAAAAGGCTGAAGGAAGGAGACCTGCCAGTTACCATTCTGTTCATGGAGGCAGCAATTCTTCAGGACCCTGGAGATGCAGAGGTTTCATTTCCCCTTCATCCTGCCATGCTCAGAAAGTGGCCTCATGTCCAAATGAGGGACAGATAGTGACACAGAGCTCTACTGGGTAGCATTTGCATCAAGTCGAGGTTCCCAAGGGAGTTAACCTGCTTTAGTCTGATATAGCCTGTTTTCTGAGCAAATCTTCAGGGCTCCAAAATAAAGGGCGGGGACAGAAAATGAAAAATTAAAATTGCCTACCTGGAAGTTCGGCAGTTTTTAGAGGGCAGTGTATATTTTTATCTGGGTCTAGAGTCACACCACATCTCACCTTTGATTTACTCATTTCACATTTATTGAGCACATACTATGTCCCAGGGATTGTCCCAGGAACTGGCTTAAAACACTGAAGAACTAGAAAAATCGAACAGTTGAAAAGGCACGTTAGTGGTCTATCTAGAGAGACGGATAAATAAATCAGTACAGTGTAATAAATACAGTGTCAGAGTATGCACAGTAGACTAGGAGAGCAGAGAGCAAGGCGCCTGACCCAGCCTTCCTCTACCATGAATCCAAAGCTGAGTTTTGAAGGACGATTGATTAAAGACAGTAGGGGAGTCAAGTTGTTGTTTAGAGAGAATGTTTTGTGGATGAGCAGAGGGACTTGAAACATTGGATCAGAGGAGAGAGGGGAGGAGAGAACGCCAGGAGAGGAGGCAAGAAGAGGTAGGCAAGAGTTTGAACTTCACCCTGAAAGCCATGGGGAAACACTAGGGAAGAGGGACACATTTTGATCTGCGTGTTAGAAAACCCCTTCTCTGAGATGTGAAGGATGATGGGAGACAGAGGCCGGGAGAACAGCAAAGAGGCTTCTGCAATCCTGTTTTGGTCCACTACATTCTGTAATAAGAGAGTAGCAGGTATAAAGGTTTCTTTTTTAGTTTATTATTTTCAGGAAACATCTTATAAAGTATATTCCCAGAAGAATTTGCAGAAATTTTGAGGGGTATATATGGTGCTGAGAAGGCAGTATAGAATAGTGGTTGAGCTTCTAGGCTCTGCTATCCTAACTGTGCAGGTTCAAATCATGCTCTACTGCTAGCTATGAGCTAATGTGGGACAAGTCATTTAAACGCTTTAAGCTTCTGTTTCCTCATATGTAAAATGAAAATCATGATTATAATAACTATCTCATTGGATATTGTGAGGATTAAATTAGTTCATACGAATAAAGTACTCAGTTCAGTGCCTAGCACATCAATATTTAGCCTTCATTATTACTATTGGTTGTACTTAGTTTGTGTAGAAAAAAAACAACTGATTACTAAAGCCTCTGGTATCTTGTTAGTCTAAAGACTGACAGTGAAATGAGATTGACCTGAGAGCTGGAATTCTAAACCAAAATATTGGAATTTTTAAAAAGATCTATGAATCCTTATAGAAGAGAAAACTATAGATCGGCCTCCCCAAAATAATAATGGCATCTTACATTTCTAAATGCTATGCATTTTCATATATGTTATGTCATTTGACATAACTCTGGGAGGTTAAAAAAATAAATAAGTTGTACATTATTATCCCAGACTCATGAATGAGAAAATTAGGATACTTGGTAACTAATGGATCCTAGACAAAGACCCAGGGCTTCTGAATCCATGGAGACCCCAAGGCTAGGATAATCAATGATCTGTGGACAGTGAAAATGATGCCATGCCCAAAGGCTAGAAAGAAGCCCCCAAAGAAAGACTGTTTCATCAATCTTTTCTTAAGAAGAATTCTAAGATGTACAGAAGATAAGATCAAAATAGAGGCTGCCCTCTGTACATTTGAAAAATTAAAAAGAATCACTGATATTCTGGGAGGAAATAATTAGTATTTTTGAGTTTACATGGTTTGTATAATAGTAATTTATAAGGGTAAAGCCGATACAATTTTTTCATATAGTTTTATTTTAAAACATCCATAGTATTGATTCTCAAAGGTGGAAGAGTTATGCACGTCTTAAATCTTTTTTAAATCCCTAAGACTCAGATTCTCGCCCCACGCCCGGCAAATTCAAGGACAATGTGTGTAATGAGAGGTTTCGTTGATGCGTATTGCTCTTGTAATAGTGTGAAATTATTGTTCTTAAAAGTGTATAAGTATAAATTTGTTATATTAAAAACGTTTATTCTAGATATAAAAAAATTATCTGTTTTAAAATATTCTTCATATTATTTACAAAAGCAAAGGATTGGAAACAACCTTAGACCAATAATTGGAGATTGGTTGAGTAAATAATGGGATATCGATTCAAGAAAATTTAAATTAAAAATTATAAGTAGAAAGAATTTGTAAAAATGTAAAAAAGTGCTTATAATGAAACATAAGTATAGGCTATAAAATTATATATAACATTAGATTGCATTTTATATGTATTTTTATGCATTTTAACAGTTATTTTATTAGAACAGTGAGGGTTTTGTTTAATTTTGTTTTGTTTTCCTCAGTTTCTAAATTTTGCATTACTTCTAATAACTACTTGATTTTCATTTATATAAGCTAATTTCACTTAGTACATCTTGAGATTTCCTATTACAAACTTTATAGACTATTTATCTACTTTTCTGGGTTATTTTTCTACCTCTTTTCCTCACAAATGCAGAATTATATATCTATAGATGATTGATAGATGATAGATGATAGATAGATAATCTTTTGGTTTTAAGATACCTACTATTATGAAATCTCAGAAACTCAGAGGTTTCCGTGGATCACAGGAGAGAATAAATGCTGAGAGTTTGTGACAGAGGATCTTGACCCAGATATCACAAGAGTTTGAAGAAATGCATGTGATATTTTTCTCTTTTACAAGACTCTAAGATCTGAGACAGGTTGCTCTGCACAGAGGGATCTGTCACAGGTAAACAAACCAACTCTCCAGCACATGAGTGATTCTGCTTCCTCTTGCAATGTTGCCATCAGTTGTTTTTTTGTTTTGGGGGGTTTTTTTTCTGTAGGCATGGCAGTTTCTCGGGATAACCCAGGCAGAGAATGAAAATGAACAAGCGGCTATTGTCGCCCTCCAGAGGTAGGTGAAGCTAAATGCGAAATCACTGATGGACACTAATTAATGAACTTCCTGTTTTTCAGATTTGTTTTTTGAGCCTTAATTTAAGTACATTGTAAAGAATTTGGCCAGGATAAGTACTGAGATGCCACATATTACTTACACTTACTCTGGAAAACAAGAACTTACAAAGAAATAATGTTCCTAAATCGCAGTATTTTGCCATCTAAAAATCAATTGACCCTCATTGGCACGAAAAAGTCTATGTCAAAAGCAATCGTGAAATAGACTCCTTGAATAAATAGTTCCCTTTAACATTCTAGCCTTCTGCAGCATCTGAAAGTTTCTTCAGGAAAAACATACTCAGAATAATCTCAGTATAAATTTAGCTCCTGGGGTCTACGGAGCACCTCCTGAGATACTTTCAGCAACCCGAAGGTATCACTCCTGAGCCCCTGACTGAAGATCTAGACTACTTTGGGTGCATGTAGCATCACACCTTATTTGATTAGAGCCCCTATTTAAATCCTGGGGAAAAAACAGCCCCTAGTAAGTAGACTTCTACTTTTCCTAATGTTTCTTATAAATGAATGAATGAATGAATGAATGGTCTTCTAAAGTACCATCTAGGGCTTGCTACTCAAAGTCTTACCAGAGACTATCAGCAGCACTGTCATCACCTGGGAGCTTGTCAGGCCTGCCCAGCCATGGGCCCATGCCAGGCCCACTGCATTGGAATCTGCATGTTACCAGATCCCCAGGTGATTCCCATGTGCATTCCTTCTCCTTTACAAAACACTGTACAGTCTTCCTTCTGGGCTGTCTAAATTTAGTTCGAGTCAGTTTGTTTGTGGATCAGGTACATTTAATATATTGATAGCAGAGCAGAGTTAAAATAATGATATGCCCTACTTCTCATTAATTAAACTAACTACTAATAAATTATGTGCAGGAATTAGCCACACTTTCTGTAGTTTTAAAACCATTTTTTAAAATTACCGAACCTAGCACTCATCAGGATGTTTTAACATACTTAAAAATATGGTGAGGTCTCAATTTTCATGTAAATAAATATGGTATTTTCCAGAGATTTAACACAGATTTAACAATACTTTTGCACCATTTAATTAATAAAGACCTCAAATTTTCTAAAGAATTGTTCAGGCTCTAGCTTCCCAAAATGTCTGAAAATGGCTGGGCTTTTTTCTTTTTTTCTTTTTTTTCCTTCTTTCAGGTGTTTAGAATTGCAGCCCAATAACTTGAAAGCTTTGATGGCTTTGGCTGTGAGTTACACTAACACCGGCCATCAGCAGGATGCCTGTGAAGCTCTAAAGAATTGGATTAAGCAAAATCCAAAGTACAAATACCTTGTGAAGAGCAAGAAGGGATCTCCAGGCCTCACCCGGCGGATGTCTAAGTCTCCAGTTGATAGGTATCCTCATTAAATCACACCCGTATACTCAATCACCACAAGGGTTATTAACGAGCCTCAGGGCCCCGCCACCACCCGTTCCAGATGGTTTATAGGACAGCATTCTGCCAGAAGAGCAGCACTGATTTAAAAGATTCATGCTGAGACCAGAGCCAACCTTTGGACACATGATCTACATCGTGGGCACTCACAAACATTTATCAGTACCATATTTTAAAGCCAAATGCTTTAGACATATAATTAACCTAAAATAAATTATAATAAGTACCAATGTGCCAAGCTTTATGAAGCCTGAGAATTAGGTATGGGGAAAAATGGAACTCCTTTCTTCTGGGAATTTTGTTTCTATCACAATAAATCGTGATGTTAAATTCTTTCTCACTGAGGCCTCAGGACACTTAGCCCTTGGGTTTTCTACACTGACACTTACAGAGTCAATGAAACTCTCCTTGTGGAGACTTTACTTAGCACAGTTTGTATCTCTGTACGACAAAATATTTCATAAAAATTAGCAGGTATTTTTTAACATGCAGTATTAATAGTCCTCTCATTACACTAAAATATTTTAAGCAACATTTTTCCAGACTGTAATTTAAATGTTTCCTTGGAACAGAGAACATAATAGTCAATCATTCATGTTTAGATTATTTGAATTACAAATCCATTTTTCACCCCTTGTAGCTCTGTTCTGGAAGGAGTGAAGGAATTATATCTGGAAGCCGCCCACCAAAATGGAGATATGATTGACCCAGACCTACAGACAGGTCTGGGGGTACTGTTCCACCTGAGTGGAGAATTTAATAGAGCAATAGATGCATTTAATGCTGCCTTAACTGTTCGGCCAGAGGTAAGTACATAGCAAGAAACCATAAGGTTTTCTGTTAAAAAAAAAAAAAATGTTTTCACAAGATACATTTCGTACATTTCTGTTATCCTTTACAGTCAATGGTTTAAAGTGATCAGTAGTAACGATATGCTCCTGTAGGGGTTAATACTTAAGTACCTGAAATAGAAACACAAATTACTTGACAGCATTAAATGGTAGCTGCTCTTTGATGAATAAAAGTCATTTTACAAAGTAGTCCATAAAGAATTTTGAGTAATTTGCCATGTCATGATTCTTGTCCATGAGCACTGGATAAATGTGTAGCCATCATCCTTCTTCTGCAGGGGATATGGGACTACTCTGTCATTGTGTCTTGTACTGGTCGTTAGAGAGCTCTCGTTTTGTCATCAGGACTATTCATTATGGAACCGTCTTGGGGCGACCTTGGCAAATGGAGACCGCAGTGAGGAAGCTGTGGAGGCCTACACACGAGCCCTGGAGATCCAACCAGGCTTCATCCGATCCAGATACAATCTGGGGATAAGCTGCATCAACCTGGGCGCCTACAGGTGAAGTATGGCAGCAGGCTGGAAACCAAGAGTCATGCTCATGGCTGACTATTATTTCCCAGTAAAAAAAAATCTCCTTTTGTAGGAGTAATCTTCCTTCTGTTAAGAGTAAGCTTTGAACCTTCAGGTCCCAATGCCTATTGAAGCAAGAACAATTTGCTTTAGTGTTTCTTAGTCTTTAAGAGGGCTGCAGTTATGTAAGCATCTTGTGAAATGTAGATTCCCAGGCCCCTCCTCCAGAGCTTTTGGTTCAGTCAGTCTGGGTTGGGATAAGTTGTCCAGATTTTTAACAACCCCAAGGGCAACTCTTTAGAAACATGAACAGTCCAAACTTTCATTTTCCAAGTAAGGAAAAGGAAAATCTTGGGGGATAGGGAAACCCAGCAAAATGACTTAAGAAGGTCCCAGGGCCAATTTTTGGCAAAGCACAATCAAGAATTCAGGTTCTCTAAACCTAATTTACCAATAAAATTAATATTTAAGAATTAAGAAAACAAATCTAAATGGTGGGTTATTTGAAATGCTTTTCTACTTCTCTTATAAATCCTTATTATCGTTCATGTTTATATCCTCTCTCTTTTCCTCAAAAGAAACATAAATGACCTTTGTTTCTTTTGGGTAATAAAAGTTTGGGTGATTTCTTTTCTTCTTTCTTTTTTCTATTTTTTATGTTTCTAAATAAATAGTTTATCACTTTCATAACTGGAAAAAGGAGAACTAAATGTTAGTTTTAAAACTTCACAAAAAAAAAATGTAAATGCTTTCTCATTCTTGGAAAGAGCCAAACTTTTAGAATCAGACAAGGTCAGGTTCAAATAACAGCTCTACCATTGACTGGTTTTATAACTCTGCGCACATAACTTTGAAACTCAATTTCTTCACCTGCTTAAAAATAAAAGAGGTAATAATATATATCTTACAGAATTATTGTGCAGGTTAAATATAATTGCCTAGCATCAAAGCAGATGCTCAATGCATAGCAGGAATTATTACTGTAATTATTATCATAGCTATCATCATTGTATCATTATTATTATTTAAATAAGTCATCAGAGAGCTACATAACTGGATTTCATTCTTTTGACATCTGAAGAATTGCTGTTTCTGAACTGCATTAGGGCATTGTGCCTTTGGCAAATATTAAGTCTTTCGAAACTAGTTGGTGCATTTATACTAAAAGGATCTTAGAAAGAACATTAGTCACTGGCTTACTCTCTGATCTCTAAGAGGATCTTCCTCAGGTCAAAACCAGGAAAGCTGAGTGACTCCTGAGAAACCAGTTTGTTTTATTTTGTGGACATTGTGAGATGTGCCGCTCGCTGAGGTCCTCGTTACATTAGCTGTGCAAACAGTCGAACATGTGCTGCCTCCCTGCATACCAGCTGTCTAAGGCCTGAAAGTGTCTATTGGGTATATTAACTTCATTCTTGGCTTCATCTGATTTCCCTAACCTGATATTATCTTTACTATTTTTATTCACCTATTTTCCAGGTATGTTTTATGAGACACCTTAGGTCCTTTTTTTAGAATAAAGAGAGATATAAATACATACATATGTACATGTAGACGTATTGAATTCTACTAAAGGAGGCTTTTATAAAGCTTCTGGATGAGTTTTCTTAATTGTAACTTCTTAATGTCGAAAATTATACTTGAGGGTCCAATAAAATACTATCTTGGCATTCACAGATGTAAGCCTTCATAGGGCTATTTGTAGGAGGCCATGAAGGTCCATGACAGGTAGAAATGAGCAACCCTGTTGAGGTGGGAATTTTTAATCCTCAAACAGAAAGTCTTCTGTATGAAACAAGTCAGTGTTAAGTTTGCTGGATGAAATACAGAATGCCCCTTTAAATTTGAATTTCTAATAAATAGCAAATATGTTTTAGGATAAGTATTTCCCAAATATGGCATAGGACATACTTATACTGAAAATTATTCATTGCTTATCTGAAACTCAAATTTCACTGTGTATCCAGGATTCTTATTTGCTAAATCTGTCCATCTGGCTCAAATAGCAACTTTGGAACATCTCAGCTAAGCTTTGTGGGTCTTTTGTTGTCATGCTGGATATGGGAAATCTTGTGAAATGATAAACATCTTGCATTTTTTCCTGAGAAAAAGACCATCGAGTGAGACATACACCTTAAATGAGTTCTGAAAATAAGTTTAACTTGAGGTGTAGGTGCAAGCTTAGGAAATAACAACACTCAATAGAGATGTGGCTCAGAAGAGAGCCAGGAGTTGGTACAAATACTTCTGTACCACCAAAATACTTCCGTACCCACCAAAGTCTTGGGACCTCTTCTTCAAAAGCTTAGGTGTCTATGTAAGAGCTTTAACACTTGCTGTTTGTTATCTCACATTTTCTAGAAAGAGTCAAAGGCAAGCCTTATCCTAGTATTGCATACAATTGAAATAAGGAGAGGAAATTGTTGGCCTGAAACTTGGGTGTAGCTTAAAATACTACCCTTTTGTCTGTCGGAGCTCCAGTGTAGAGCTTAGACCAATGAATATTAATCGTTTCAAATGTGAGACCCCTCTTTAATGAAAAAAATCTCATCCCCTTTGATAGTAATATTTTTAGTATTAGTATAATGAGGGAAAGCAACTATAAAATGAGAAATGCTTTACAATAATGCTTTTTTATTAATCATGACATATACACAATTTACACTTATTAATACATATATGTGTAATAAGTTTTTCTGTAAACTATGAGTCAAAAAAAGAGATACAAATTGACACCCAGCCTCTCCTCCAAAGAGGTTTTTAAAAGAACACAGTAAAGACTAATTCTTCCTCCAAAGAGGCTATGCCCATTATCTGGACAGGATCACAAGGCATATTCTGCTTATTAAGTGAACTGAGCCTCATTTGAGCTCCTGACAGTTTAATTTAGCTTAACAAATACATCTGCAACTTGATCATACAACCTCTCTGTCTTGATGGCCAATAAAAGTAATGCTTCCCCTGAATATGGAAACTTAACATGATTAAGGAAAAAGAAAGAGTTTAAATTCTTTGATTCAGCTTAACTCTGCCTTCAAAGTTTACATCAGTTATCCATTGCAATTTCTATCATTCCTCTTTGTTGTGACAGACTGACTGCCTATCGATTATATTGACAATACACAGAGGTAACGATCGAGTTCTCTTTGAATTGATCCACAGGATAGTGGAGGACTCCAAAATGTCCCCATTCTGTGGGGCCACCATAGCATTCAGACAGCTCAGGACAGCCACCAGTGGCAGCCTCCAGGGACAATGACCAGGCAGTTGGAGGGTGCCACTAGGGAAGATAAAATACGTATATGTGTGAAACATATATTCACACATATATGTACAATCTTCTGAGTCCCCAAAAGGGCTTTGAGTTCCCAAGTTGGAAAACAGGTATAGGCTATCGTCATGAGAAAAACCTGGAGTTGCTGAACAAGGCTATTGAGTTAGACAATTTTGCTACTCTCCATGTCCCTCAGAGACCACTGCCTTATACTTAGTGACTCAGAGCATCCTGTACACAAGGGAATCCCAAGATCTTCCTTCCCCTCTCCCCCATCAGAGTTATTACAGGCCTAGCAGGATGAGAGGAAACAGAGTCCTCATTCGAGATGCCATCCTGTGACGAGGGAGCCAGAAATGGCCCTCAAAGTAGACTCCCATGAGCATCTGTTTATAAATCCTCCTCTCTCGCTTGATTACAAGAAATCTAAACGAGGGTGATTAGAATACCCACTGCCTTCCATTACCCAGGTTCCTACACACAGTGCAATCATTCCCCAACTGACTTCTATTTCCAGACAAACTTAACAGTATAAATAAGCAAATGCCTAGATATGTGCATTGGAATCAGAAATCCAGTCTCACTTTCTTTAATGTTTCTTACGAGATGCTTAAGAATAACTTCCTGGCAGAATTAAATGAGATCAAGTGTGTGAAAAGCCTCTAAGAAAAGTAAAGCAGATACTTATTCTTGGTGAAGACCACTTTGTCAGATACACTATACACACTTGGGGCGACATCAGGCGCTGAAGAGGGCAGATCCAGCAGTTACTCCTGGCGCACGAGCAGGGGTGTACCAGAGGAGCTAGAAGGCCTTTGGACAGCATCTGACTCAGCAGTTCACACACAAATTCTCAGGACTCCTTTACATTTTTAACAACCGTTGAGAACCTCAATGGACTTTTGTTATGTGGGTTTTATCTATTAATTTTTACCATATTAGAAATAAAACTGAGAAAATTTTAAAAGATTTAGAAATAAACTATTTACATGTTAACATAAATTATGTATTTTAGTGGTTACCAGAGGGTAGGGAGTGGGAGAAGAGCGGGGAGGTAGACGGGGTAAAGGGGGTCAAATATAGCTGAAGGAAACTGGACTTTGAGTGGTAAACACACAATAGAATATATAGATGCCAAATGATAATGTACACCTGAAAATTATATCATTGTATTAACCAATGTTACCCCAATAAATGTAATTTTTTTAAAAATTTTAAAAATTTTAAATTTTTAAAAATAATTATTATTATTTTCCAAAAAAATGTTTAGTGTAAAGAGTGGCATTCCTTTACATTTTTACACATTTATTTAATATCTTGCTTAATAGAAGACAGACACTCATATCCGTTTCTGCATTCAGTCTGTTGAGATATCATACATCATGTAGTCACTGGAACAATCCACTGTACACTGTGAATGAGAGTTAAAAGATAAAATAACATCTCAGTATTGTTATAAAAATGATTTTGACCTACTGACCCCCATGGTTCCCCAGATAACATTTTGAGAACTATTGATCTAACCTAATGATAACAGTTTTCACATAAATTGATTCAACTGCAACTCACAACAAAGTTTTACAATGGATTCTATTCTTCCTACTGTATAATTGGAGAAACTGAGGCCTGGAGAAAATAGAAATTTGCTAAGGCTAAATAATGAGATTCAAGTCCAGGTGCTCTGATAACAAATTCAACTCAACCCCGGAAGCCTCCCGTGTTTGTATCGCTAATAGTAAAAGTTGGACCACTTTGTTTCTGAGTAGGGCCAGATGCTTCCTCTTCAACCCTAGTTATATAAATCACATCTGCAAATGGATTACATCTTCACATCATTCCTGGAGTAGGGGAAATCGAATGCATTAAAGAGTTAGCAATGGTTTTGCCATTACTCTTTCTCTCCCACATGACGTTCCTAAAATAAAAGTTGCTTTGCTTTTTCCTTTCTGATTTCACTACATTTAACGATGATCTTTCACAAAAGAATCATGACAGAATCAGAAAGTTGTTCATCTGATGATCCAAAACATCAGAGAGAGGTGGTTTAGAATTTTAGACTAAAATAACTTAATCCATTTTTGTTTTTTTAAGTTTGCTAACTCTGAAATTTGTTGCATTTTTAAATGTCTGTTTTTCTACCCTGTTAGAGAAGCTGTCAGCAATTTTCTCACTGCCCTCAGTCTGCAAAGAAAGAGCCGGAATCAACAGCAAGTTCCTCATCCTGCCATCTCTGGGAACATCTGGGCTGCCCTCAGAATCGCACTTTCTCTGATGGACCAACCTGAACTCTTCCAGGCGGCTAATCTCGGTGACCTGGATGTCCTCCTAAGAGCTTTCAACTTGGATCCTTGAAGGAAATGAAAAAAATAAAAATAAAAAATAATAATCCCTTCTCTGTATAATTGTACTGAGAAATGCAAAACTATTTTATGAATTCCAAAAAGGTTAAACCAGATGTTCAAAAGGCCGTTGGTGATACAACTGAAGACAATTCCTACAGATAATGCCCAGTAGCTGTTCAGATCCCAAAGCACAAAATGTTATCTACAGAGTCAAGGTCGGGCTCAAAAGAAGAATTGAGAGGCTGAAGACAAACTAAGATAAAGTAACTGTATATGAATACTCTTTTCACAAGCTGCAAGCACATCGCAAAACATAGTCTTTGGGTTTTTTGTCCCCACTTGCAGCTAATGACACATCTAAGAACTTGCTCATGGAACACCTGGAGAAAGCACTGCCTCAAATCAGGGAATTCTGACTATTTCTGAACTGTCCCCTGAAATATCCCTTTTACAAGATTGACATAGTTTGAGCCAAGGTGCATGCACAAATATTAACTTAACTAAAGAGAGGCATTGCTTAAACCTGTTCCAATTTTAACTTTAACTGTAGCTTTTTGATTCCAGAGAAGGAGCTTTGCTGGCAAAAGCAGTTTTTGCACTAGAAATTTTTGCTTTTCCCAATCAAAACTTTTCTGGGATTGTATATATGCACTTTAATATCTTATTTATGCCTTGCTGGAGTTTTGTTGCTCCAATTTTTAACTTGGGGGTAGAAGATTTGAGAATTCAGCCTTGCTAGATCAATGGACCAAATAAAAATTCCTGAAAACAGTTTTCATAGTGTAGGGTTTTGAAGGAATGTTTTTAAAGCAGATGTGACATAGGGTATAAGTATGTCAAATATATCTTATTACGTGTTTTCTGGGACTGTATGAACTTAAGCGAAAGATAAGGTATTGTCTCTTCATGCATTCTCTGTAGGGCAAAAGTTTGATGATATCATGATTTCTATTGAGTTAGCATTAACTTGCTTAAATGTCATGTTTTACTTGCTTTCTAGTTGCCCTGCACACCAATATTCTTTTTAAACTGTTAATATTTTAAATAGTATTTCTTAAGAGTGATACACTTTTTCCTAAAAAGTATTTTTTAGTTCCATAATAATCTGCGCTGCTCACCCTTTTGCATTCTAAGTGAAAAATATCAGTATTTTCTAGCTGAATCTTACTGAATGTCGGTGGTTTCATATGAAAGATGCATGCCCCTTTGGCTCTCATTTTGAACATTTATCAAATGTCAGTAATATCTGTTGGCAATGGCATTTTATTTCATTGGTTACATTCCACTCAGTTCTTCGGAGTGTTTAGTGCCTGTTGGGGCTTAGTGATTATTTGGAAAGACATCATTTTTTAAAGGATTAGAAAAATTGTTTGTAAAATGCTAACCAAAATATAATTTCACCTATGTCCAATTCTAGTAATCTATCCTAGCAAGTTGTCTCATTCTTCTTCATCTTGTCTCCTTCCCTCTTCCAGAATCTTCACCAAAGCAATCTAATTCCAACTTTTCTTCATGTTCTTTGGCTAGTGATAGCTGGTTACATTCATCATTATAGTTACCAAGCAAAAGAGCATTTGGGTCAGGACAGTTTAATTGACTGGAGAGTTAGCCTCTACTGTGAGGAAGAAAGGGGAATGTACACACATACTGAACTCAAGGTGCAGGTAGCAATTGTCTCCTTTGTTACATTTGAAGACCCTGGAATAGGAAGGGGCCTCGAGTTAATATAAAAACACAAGTCCTTGAGAATTACATATTATAAGCAGCGACAAACCATTGGGCAAAGCAGTCGCAGTCATCACTGGGCAGCAGCCACAAGGCAGTCTTGGCCTACTTCCTTGCAGTCTCAGAAGTAAAGTAAAGCTCAACCATATTTTCCACAATGGTATTCTTTAGAATTTTAGAATCCTAGAAATTCAGTCTGGGAACAACTCTTGCAACCCATGGTAGCTGCCTGTTTGACTATGCCTGATAAAATAGCATCCATTTTCAGCATGCTCCTTCCTCCTCCCTATCCCTATGCCTTCACTGTATGGCCAGCTGACTTGTGTCCATCATAGTTTATTAGAAACTCTAAAGAAGGATTCAGCATTTACAAGTATTCTGTTTATGATGCCATTCTATGCTTTCAACAGTAACTGAATTGGCAATAATAATAGGCTCTTTTCTACACTTCGCTGTCACTAAATGCATGAGAGCAGTAACAATTTAAAGCACTACAGTAGGGTAAATGTGCAATTTAACTTTGATTTAACTTGATTGTTGCTTTGATTGTTGCTAAATGGTGGCAAATTTGAGGGTCTCAAGTTTATTTTGCTATCTGAATATAAAGTAACTTCAAACTCCACGGAGTTGTTTTAGGGGAGAGTAAACAATTGTTCATTTCCCTAATTATTTGGTAATTTGCAGGACGTTTGGTAGGACTTTCTCTAATATATCTAGTGTCCATCAGAACCAAGATTTTCATAGGCGGTACCCTGTCAGGAATTGCAGAATTATTGCCTAAGACATTTGTCAATAATATTTTTAATAAAATTAAGTTAAAACAGTCACTAAAAAGCAAGTTCAAATTTATAGAAATCAGAGTACCACCAAAAGTTAAGTAGCAACATTTTAGAAGAGTCTTTATTCTATACATTTTTTTTTTTAAGTGTATACGCATTCTTTTAAGACAGAACAGTTTTAGGCATCTTATCTTCATGGTGTGAAATTGTCATTTAAATTACTCTTTCCATTTGAAAGAGTAGGATGGACGTCCTTGGTTCCCTTCTGAGGTACTCTGGGAAGGCTTCGAGTTTCTTTTTTTCTTGTATTACTTAGTAACAGCCTAAGATCTCTTTTAGGACAACACAATTGTACGAGAGTGGCCACTCAACTGCACGAATGTGACATTCAAGGACTGATTTCAGCAGTAGATTGGATGAAAATGCAGGGAAGGCTAGTGGTTAATGCGGAGTTTCTATATATGTTATAACTATGTCTAGTGGGCTACTTCTACACACTGCTGGACCCTAACGGTGAGAAGAACGTGGAGGAATAGGGTAGAAGAGAGGCAGGAGTAAAGTGTCCACTTACTGGGCCAATCATATTGAGTCATCATCCCCTTTGCTTTCTCCCAAGATCACTCCCCATGACTCCTTGAAAGAAAGGCAAATCTTATCCACCAGGAAAATTTAATAGAAAACTGTGAGTTGTACTTTCTCAGCCAATCTGTGTTTTTCAACTAAAACAGCAAATTAGTGATATTTAACTGGGTTGGAATGTCCAGGACACACTCACTTTCACAGTTTTATGCCGCTTTCCATTCTTTTCCCTTCAAGAGAACTAACTATTGCATTGAATCTTGGGTCCATGTCTAGATACTTATACGAGATAAATATTTCTTGCATATTTTTGCTATATAAGCAAGACTTAAACACAATTGTAGCTAGTCACACTTACAATGGGAGCTCCCAAACTTTTTACCATAAATTTTGTGAGTTCCTTGGGAATATAGAAAGCAAGATGGTCATTCTGTGCCTGTTACTCGTTTGCCCCTGAATCAGTTCCACAAGACTGGGCTATGCTGTAACTTAATTGTTGTTGCTGTTGTTTTATACCTTGAAATGCTTCTAAAAGCATTCTAGAAACAGGGTATGCTGAAGGCTTAATTTGTGTGCCATCTTTTTAGGGCCTCCTATTACATGCACACATATAATTTCAACTTTGTAAAATAATTTCAAATTCATTCCCTCTCTGGATTTTACTGTAGTTTCCCTATATTCTCACTATTTATAGAACTGGTTGAAATTAAATCATTTTGAACTAAGACGTAGATATATACATATATTTTTTGAAGAGTATTTGGAGGTGAACTCTGGTATAAGTTTGTAAAAAGGCAATTTTTAAAACGTAAAACATATAACCTCAGGTACAAAAATAACGCATGCATTAGTACTTGCAAATCTGCCTACTCAAATATTAACCAAAGCATGCAAGATAACACTACTGAATGTAAATTTACTCAGTGCATGATTAAGTCTCATAGGTTAGCTTATTTTTCCTTGCTTCTAAACAAGGAATCGTTTTCATGAACATTGTGTTACAGTTTTTCTATTTGCTTTTAATATCCTATCCTTGAGATTGTTTTCTTGCTACCACACTGAACTTTACAAATATTCACACATCTGGTTTATGCAGTGTTGCAGCCAGTACCAAAGTAATTCTCTGAGGAATCCAGGTACTTAGACATCCAAAATAATTTTTTAAAACCAGTTGAGGCACAACAGATCCAAAACTGAAGTAAAATCCACATGTCTGAATTCTATTATATAAAATCATGTTGCTTGCCTCACACAGTTTTGATTCGAAATTCTGAATAGTGCATTTCAAATTTTTTCTAAAGTTTGGGAATAAATTAGAAATCCTGATATTCTAAATAAGGTAAGGAGGTTAGGGTAATGTCAGGCACATGAAAACTATTCTAAGGCAAAATGGACATGGAGCCTTAATATCCACAAATTTCACATAGTGACTGCATGGGAAGTCACACCATTATCCTCACCATGGCCCTATTTGTATGATGAGGTACTAGAGTCCACATTCCTTGGGAAAACGAACTTGGTCAATATGTCCAAAAACATTGAAATGCAAGGGCAATGAGGTGATTTCACAGTCACTAAGACCAACTCTGAAGGCCTCTCACTGCTTTTTTCTATAACCCCTGCTTTATGAACAAAAATGACAAGGAGACCAGATATGGAGGGAGCAAAGCTCCATAGGACAAGATCCTTGGGTGGAAGCATTAAACAGTTAAGAGGAGGGGGAAAAACAAAAAACAAAATTAAAGTGTGAGGGTTAAAAAACTCTCATGTGGTATTTTGCCTTGAATAAAGTTCCCACTACAGCCAACCTTTGCAGAAATACCAAAATAACACACTCTAGAAGCAAGTGCTCCAATCTCAGAAGTGTTTTCTCAGGACCTTCTCTACAAGAGAAAACTAACTTGCAATGTTGCAGTGTCATAGCAAAACTCTGACAGGCTCAGTGGGACACTTTTAGAAACCTGCACTCAAAATAATTTTAAGATGAAAAAAAGAACCATGAGGCAGTTCTTTGCTAACAATAAAATATGTCTTTTTTTCCTTTGAATTTCTTGGAGAGGGAAATGGTGTGACACAAAAATGAGTAAGGGATATATTCACACTCAACTAGGTCATTTGGCATTTTCACTGAGATACATAAAATTTTTGCATAGAAGCCATAAAGGAATTATGCCATGTGAGAAATGTGTCCATGACTGAATATGTTACCAGTAGTTAAAGGAAATATAGCAAACCTAAATTTTTACCAACTTCCTTTCAATTTCCCTCCTTAACCTAACCCAAACCCTCCTAAATTTTCATTATCCAAATTTGTTTACATTGAACAAACAACCTGATTAATTTAGTAAACTTTTTACAAACTATAATAAGCATTTATTAACTATTTAGAAAAAACATTTCTATATATTTTGTATATCTATGAATATTGCTTATCTAGTCTAATCAAAAAATATTGTTTTGAGACAAATTCTTCTGTGATGCTTCCTTATCATGCTCAATAATGTTTAAAATCTTGGGATTTCATTTTTAAGCTAAAATAGATAACAAAGAAAAATTTAACTTTAAATGTTTACATTGAGTTTCTAAATTAAAACCAACCCAAATTAAGTGACTCATAGTAAATTAATGGCAATGGGAGGTATAAAAGTTATTGGCATACTATGTGATAATATGTCTGTGTATTTAGTGAAATATTATGTATCATAGCACAACTCTGTTGGGTATTAAGGCTTCTTCTTACTATTTCCCTGTGTTGCTCTTTGAAATAAAATTACTACCATAAAAGTAACCTATCATATCGATGTGTTTAATTTACTCAGTTGGCTTATAATTTACAAAGTACCAAGATTAAGGTAGTATGTTTGTACTATTATTGGAAGCATGCCTTCCCTTTTTCACACTATTGTATTTATACTTGTGCAATTTTAAACTATGTTTTCAAATAAACTTTGTGGCTTTGAGGTTGTTTCAGAAATCTTTCAAAATGAGATTTGGGGATCAGAATTGCTTCAACTCAAATAGAATCCGATTTGTACTACTGGTTAAAAGGTCCTTTTATTGAATATCACTACATATGATTTTGCATGAGTTATCTGGAAATCAGGAATACATTTTTAAATATAAAACAAAACTTTAAAATCTTCTTCCTTTGTTAATTTTTTTAGACTAAAATATTATTTAACCTGAAATTGGATTTGTGATTTTTTTTGGAATAAATTATTAAATATAATTCAGTTTTAGGGTCTGCTTTTCTTTCTTTTTGGTCAGTCAATAAATATTTGAGCACCTACTATATGCAGGTACTCTTCTAGTGTGGGACAGTGGTAGTAAATCAAATCAAACTTGCCCCAGAACTTAGATTTCTGTGAGGAAGCAACAAATAAGAATGTCATGTGCTGTAAAGTGCTAGAACAAGGCAAATAAGATATTACGAGAGTGACTAGGGGTTGCTTTATTGTAGGTGGTTAGGAAAGGTTCCTCTTAGGTG